GTCGGAAGTCAAGTACCTGGGGGTCCTAGTGAACCGTGAACCCATAATGGAGTACCCAATACCACGGACGATCAGACAGGTGAAGCGATTCATGGGGATGATGTCGTGGTATCGTCGCTTTATACCCGACTTCGCGACAATCGCTGAGCCGATAAACCGCCTGACGAAGAAGAGCATCCCGTTTGCTTGGCAGCAGGAACAGGAGCAGGCTTTCGAAAGGCTACGAGATGCCATGGTCTCGGCACCAATCTTGCAGTCGCCAGATCCCAGCGCACAGTTCGTGTTACAAACGGACGCGAACGATAGTGGGATAGGCGCGGTGTTGACGCAAGAAATCGATGGACAGGAGCGCGTAATTGAGTACGCCAGTCGCTCCCTAAACAGTGCGGAAAGGAATTATACAGTCTCCGAACGAGAGTGCCTGGCAGTAGTATGGGCTATCGGGAAGTTCCGACCATATGTTGAGGGGCACCACTTCAAAGTCATCACCGATCATAGTTGCCTTAGGTGGCTCCACAGTATGAGGAATCCTACAGGAAGGCTAGCGCGTTGGGCGTTAGCACTGCAAGGGCATGTTTTCGATATAGAGTATCGAAAAGGAGACCTCAACGTGGTGCCAGACGCTTTATCTAGGGCCTATGAGGAGGGGGTGGTAGAAGTGGGTGCCATGACTCATCAGCCGGAAACTGCCGATGCCTGGTACCTTCAGAAATACAGGGAAGTATGCCAGGATCCACATTGTCAGCCTACCTGGAAGGTAGTTGGAGGGAGATTGTATCACTACAATCCGACTGAGGAGAGCGAAGGGTCCATCGACAATGAGGAAGCCTGGAAGCTAGTTGTTCCTGCTGAGAAAAGACCTCAAGTGCTCGAGGAGGTACACGATGCGCCAGCAGCGGGACATCAGGGGAGAGAACGAACGTTCTCCCGGGCTAGGCACCTGTATTTCTGGCCAAAGATATACGAGCAGGTCAGAGAGTACGTGAGGAGTTGCCCGGTATGTCAGCAGTGCAAGGCGGAACAAAGGCCGCCTTGCGGGCTGATGGGTCGTCGAGAAGTCTCGCGACCCTGGCAGGTGGAGGCCAGTGATATTACTGGCCCTTTCCCAAAGAGCTCGAGAGGGTTCGAGTAAATTTTGGTCTTCTTAGACCTGTTCACTCGGTGGGTGGAGTGTGTACCCCTACGTAAGGCCAATGGAAGGACCATCGTACGGGAATTGCACAAGAGGGTGGTAACCAGGTTCGGCGCGCCCGAGATATTTCTTTCGGACAACGGGACCGAATTTAAAAACCAGGAGGTCGATGCCTACTTGTCGAGGAACGGCATCCGGCGCGCCCTTACTCCAATTTACCACCCACAGGCAAACCCTACAGAGCGAGTGAATAAAACCCTCAAGGCCATGCTCATGTCGTACGTGGAGCGGGACCATAAGAGCTGGGATGAGCACCTGCCAAAGTTCAACTTCGCGTTGAACTCGGCAACTCATAGCGCGACAGGTTATAGCCCGGCTATGCTGGTCTTCGGTAGACAGCCCACTCCCCCCTCGACCTTTAGGAGAGCCCAGGATCAGTTGGCTCGGGAAGCTTCTGAGGACCAAGAACTGACCGAATGGGGCGAGCACATGCGCCAGTTACCCAATTTATGGGAACGCGCTGGCTCTAAGTCCAGGGAGGAGGCTGACCATCAGGCGGTCTACTATAACCGGAGGAGACGCCAGGCCGACTTTAGGGTTGGGGACTGGGTGTGGAAGCGGAACCGTATCTTGTCTTCCGCAGCTCAGGGCGTTTCGGCGAAGTTGGCGCCGAAGTATGCTGGTCCATATGTCATTCAGGAGGTATGTGAAACTAATACCTACCGCGTCGGTAACCAGCAGGAAGAGTTGCCCGAGCTGATCCACGTCAAGATCCTCAAGCCCTATTTCGGCCCATTCTCGGACCAGGATGATGAGGAACCGGGAGTAGGGGACTCAACACCGTTGGAGGAAGAGGAGGGCGTAGGCGACCAGCCAGCGAAGATTGAGGAATCCAGCGAGGATCCGATATGAGAGCGCGTCGCGATTGCAGCCCCCGCGAACGAGTGTGAGGAACCCGTGGCGGCCCCAAAGGTACCGATCGAGGCGCCGGCTAAGCGAGGCCGTGGTAGGCCGCGCAAGAACCCTGCGTGCGAACCTCAGGCACCAGGTGGAGATGACCTGAATGACAATGCGGCAAGGGGAAGAGGCAGGCCCCGTAGAACCACTCAGCACGTGCAGAAGGTGGTCCTGCCAGCTACCCCCTCAAATGGGCCACATTCGCGAGGAAATCGCAGGGGACCGGGACGTCCTCGTAAACAGTAGCATCGAGCGTGACGCAGCGACGGTTAGGTTAAGGGCTAAACCTGAGACATCCCTTAACTCCCCTCTTCTTCTTTTACAGATGGAGAGGAAGCTGATAGTGAGCAAAGAGGCCTTCGAGACGGCCACTCAGATGTTGCTCGACCTAAGGCTGGGTCCGGACGCCGTCCGGCTCATCGGCGACGTCAGAAGATTTGTCCGGGCCCAGGTCGAGGTGGCCGCCAGAGAAGGCCGCTCGCGCCAGCGGGTGGACGACTTCCTCCGGGAAGGTATGAGGGCCCAGACCAGGAGGCCTGAGACCCGGGAAGTGTCCACCCAGACCGACGGCCCGTCCGAAGAGGGCCGTCGGTCTAAGTCCACGACGGACCAGGGGGTGCAGACCCCAGAGTCGAACAAGCCGACGACGGCTGACGGCTCAACGCAGTGCCCCAGGCCGAAAGAGGCCTGTGGCCAGGGGCAGTGGGTCTGCAACCACTCCCGGGTCCCCAGCAGGTTGGGCTCGAAAATTCCTGGAGGCACGTGAGGTTGGGCCTCCAGGAATTGGAAAACGCGTGGGAGTTCGTCGGGGAACTTCAGCGCCAGGTACATGCACACCTGGGGGAGTTCCTCGACTTCCGCGGCGCCCAAGAGATGCTGGGGGAGTGGGCTCCTGTGGTCCGGCGGCAGAGGGCCTATGGCGAGGCCCTGCTGCGCGTAGACCGGGGACCGGAGTCCCCAACGGCCGCGGGCCCGCCGGCGGTATTACCACCGACGGCATCAACTGATAGGGTCGCGGCCAGGACTCCAGCCAGGCCCCCGACGCAGACTCAGGCCAAGAGAGTCTCGGGGGCCCCCGGCGCCGTGCAGGAGTTTACGGTCCGCGTGGACGGGTCGGTTTCCGACCCTACCGTGGTGGTGCGCACCCAAGGGGGGCGCACATCCGCCACGGTGGGCGGCGTTACATTTATCGCCGCCCCGGTAGTTCCAGCCCAGCCGCCCTATCCACCAGCAGGGAGCCAGGGCCATGGAGCGGAGCCTGGCCCCAGTGGGCGGCCGAAGAAGGGCTGCTACATATGCGGCCATCCCGGGATAACCACAACGTCCAAGTGCCCCAACAAGTCGGAACACTGGCGCTATCCCAGGCATAAGGCGCCAGGAGGCTCCGGCAGATGAGGTGGGGGAGTAGTGGCCCGGGATGGGCGAATAAAGTATGATGGTAACGAGGATGGATTGTGTCAGTTTCTCCCCTTTCCCAATCCTGTCCTTAGGGTCGCGAGTCGGTGAAGTAGTTCGGTCCGGTAGTCCGAAGCTAGGAGGGGGCTGCAACGATTACCGAAAATCGTTCGACTCGCGCGAGGTTAATGAGCGGCTGAACGAGAGAAGCCGCGATCGGTTCGCGAGAGAGAGAGGGCGCGTAGGGGCAATGACCGGGAGGGGAGCGTTCAATAGGCAGTATGACTGTGTCACTCGGTCGGCCTACATCGTAGCTAACCCTTTCCCGTGTCGTTATCGCGTTTTCGTTTGGTGGTGCGAAGTGAGAAGCGAGGACAGTAGCGCGGTGTGCTGAGTGCAGCAACAGCAGCAATAGCAGCAACAGCAGTAGCAGCGACAGCAGCAACAGCAACAGCAATATCCGCAGCGGCAGCAACCACAACAGCAGTAATCGCGGCGGTGCAGCGAGCAGCGAAGCAGCTTTTCAGCGGCTTGTTGATCGGATACGGTTGGCCACCGTATCCTCTATTATCTCGCGGTAGGTGCACCTTCCCATTATTGTTAATAGCGTGCTATCCCGCGCAGCGTACGCGAAGGGATTAATTGTTGCGTGCGAGCGGTTAGTTCGCGGTGATCGCGGTTTTCTCTCTCTCTCTCGTACAGCGTGTGTTGTCATTCGCGCTAGCGTGCGCAAGACTCTCGGCAAATCCCCCGTGTATTTGATTTAATTGAATAAATCGGTCAATCGTAATCATTAAATCTTGTCATCATTATTTAGTCTTTCCTTTGTCTGGAGGTCGCGTCTGATTACATTCGATTCGAATTAGCCGGTAGTGTAGCACGGATCACGCGGATACCGGTAGACGGGAATCGTCAACATAGTTTCCAGCAGCGGCCGCGCGAGCGCTACTAAGCAAGGGCGACAGCGCCACCAAGCGGCGAGTTGGGGGAACCCAACTCGGAGTATCGAAGAGACTCTGCGCAGGCGCACTCCAAGACAAGGTAGGTTGATGTGCTTCGAGCACATAGATAACTAGGCGTCGTTTAGTCATTATATAGGTACGTTCCAGAGATATTATAGGCTAAACGGCAGCCTGTTATAGAAGATAATACAAACACTTTTATAATATATTAATTATGAAAAATGGTACCAATTATTTTATTCTACTATATTATTTTACAAAAATCTTGAATACATTAGTTATTATTATAATATAAATTTTTTTTAAATTTTATTTAGTATGATTTTAGGAAAAGCCTGTGACACCATAGTTCAGTTTTCGAGCCTTTGTTTGCAATCTTCTCTTCAATGTAATACAGTTAAAATCTGAATAATATAGTTGAATGGGATTTTTAATGTAACAACACGGAATAAATTAATCATTGAATATGCATCCAACAATTTAAAGTTAAATTAATTAACAATTCTTAGTCAGTTTTATTGGTAGGTGATTTAACCGTATAATTATTTTTTCAGGACGAACATACAAATGTCAGCCTATGAAGATATATTTCAAATGGATGCTTCAGAAAAAAACTCATATAACATCAATGATGTCCAACGAAGACCAACAAATTTGCAATTATTAGTTAGACAAACAAGTATGATGGATACTCAAAGAGATTCAGATGGTACAATAAAAATGGCGTATTGGTTTTAAAAGTAAAATTATGTGAATTGGAAAAATCTTCGTTACTATCGGCTAGCTCATTTTTGTCGAAAAAATTTATTTGAATAAAATTATAAACTACCTGAAATATTCTAATTGATAAAATAATGATGATTACTTTAGTGCATCAAACAGAATCACCCTTCGCTAAAAATAATATCACACATGAAATATTTCATTGGACCAAAATTCAAAACTATTCATTTTTACAGCGAGCATCGGAAATCTTACGATTATTGTTTCTTGTTGTAATTAAGATTACTCAGTGCCTTACTTAGCATCAGCAAAGTAAGTATTGCTAATATAATTTACTCCATATATGTTTGGCTCCTGCTCTTCTACGTAACCAGAAAAAGGGCAATTTCTTTCTCTAATACTCAAGCATTATAATACATATGAATTATTATATAAATAATAATTGCTGATAGAGATAATGTGAAAAAATATGAAGACAATAGGAGAATAATAGAGACAATGGAAAAAATATAAGAAATATTCTCCATTCGAATCTCCAAATCGTACATGTATTACAGCAAGATAATTACTGATTAACTATTTCTATCTACTGAAGTAGAAATATCCTTAGGTACCAGAAGATAATACTTGATCAGTCTATTGTTAATTTTAAAAATAATGACTATACTTCCAGATCAATTCATATATATATAATTTTTGTTCTAGAAAATAATAGAAATCTGCTTTAAGCTTCAGTCACGTGTAAAAAAACTAACAAACTCTATTACACGGCGTGATATAGAAATGATTAATCAAATTCTATAAAAGTAAATTTCTTCAATGTAACCATATCCTTAATTGTTTTCTATATTTTCCGAATCATTCACTATACTTTTCAATTATTGAAGTATTCAGTACTTATTAATTATTTACAAATTTTAACGGTACATACTCTGTTGCAAAATCGAAATCTTTTATTAATGTTAGTAATGTCGGAATAAGCATACTCAATACTACTTGAACGAACTAACAAGGAAACCCCCCCAACCCGACCTCACCGATTTCAATAATCTTTTGATATGTTATAGTTCATCAAAAAATAAGACATATGTATTTTTTTTTATCGGCGGAAAAACACTTTGAGGGGGTGAAAACAACCCTCAAAGTTCACCCCCAAAAATAGATTTTCCAATGTATCTCAGCATCTAATTGATATTTTACGACCAAACAAATTTCATATCACTTCTCATGTGAAAAGCAAACTAGCACATGCAATTCCGACCACAAGGGATGCAACCCTTATTTTTTTTATTTAAAATACTATCTATTTCATGGCTATTTTTATGAAAAAAATTAAAATAACCCGAAAAAAATTGGAAAAAATATTACCCTACATAAAATACAAAAATAAAGTTAATCTAGTCAAGCTTTTTTTCAAACTACCCCCTTAAAGTTGAAAAACCACCCCTAAAAAATTGTTTTCAATACATTACAGGTGGTGTTGATAATTTAGTGTAAAATACGTTAAGCATCATTTATACTGTACAAACACAACTATCTCGTGCAGTTTCGACCACAAGGGTTGCAACCCCTAATTTCTGTCATCGAAATTTTTACCTTCTTTGTACCTATTTTTTAAGAAAAGTTCATAATGAGCTTAAAAAAATTAGAAAAAATATTACCATGGATAGAATAAGAAAAAAAAATTTACTTCTCATTTTTAAAACCACCCCTAATATTGAAAAACCACCCCCAAAAAATTGTTTCCAATACATTACAGGTCCTCTTGATAATTTACTGTAAAATACGTTGCTCATCACTTATAATGTACAAACACATTTATCTCGTGCAGTTTCGACCACGAAGGTTGCAACCTCTAATTTATGTCATCGAAATTTTTACCTTCTCCATTCCTATTTTTGAAAAAAGTTCATAATGAGCTTAAAAAAATTGGAAAAAATATTACCGTGGATAGAATAAGAATAAAAAATTTACCTGTTCAAACTTATTTTCAAAACCACCCTCAATGTTGAAAAACCATCCTAAAAAAAGTTTCTGACATATCGTTACAATCACTTCTATATCAATTAAGCTATGATTCCATAGCTATTTTGTTGCTCTCTTTTAAATTTTTTACGTTCTATCGTTTATTAATTCTATCAAAAAATAAATAACTTTTATTATATAAAAAAACAAGTCAAGAATAATATAATATTATAAGTATACCTAGAAGATAAGTATAGTTTCTCGGATGCGCAAAAATTTTGGTATATGAATGATAGTATTATCAGAATTTTATTTACGTCCTACTATCAGCGTCTCTGACGATTGTCTGTTATTTTCATGATTGATAAATATGAGTAAGTAATTCTTCATCAGTAGCCAACACAACTTTCTTGTTGTTGGACGTATTGTATCGACTATTGAACTAACAGCTGTAACAGGCTGTCGTTTAGTCGGTAATCTCCTAAAAGTGCCCGTGCTTCAACTATACGAAGCCTTGTTATCTATGTGCTTATAGCACAGGAACCTACCTTGCCCGAAGTGCGCCTGCGCAGAGTCTCCTCAATGTTCCGAGTTGGGTTCCCCCAACTCGCCACTTGGCGGCGCTGTAGCTCGTACTCTTAGCGCTCGTGCGGCCGCCACCGGCACCTAGGATGTCGACTCGCGTCTAGCGATACTTACGCGATTCGTGCTTCGCAACCGGCGAATTCGAATCGGAATGTAAACAAATATGCACGACCTCCGGACAAAGGGAAAACACAATAACGGAAACTCGTTTGAATTAAAAAACCAAGGGATGATTTATTGGTTAAAATCAATTACACGGAGGGTATGCCGAGAGTCTCACGCACGCACGCGTGAATGACAATACACGCTATTCGAGAGAGAGAGAAAAAACCGCGATTGCCGCGAACTACCTGCTCGCACGCAAAACAATAAACTCTTCGCGCTCGCTGCGCGGATTCGCACGCAAATTAACAACGAGTTAACAAAGGGAAGAAAAGGTGCACCTACCGCAAGAACGTCGTGGATACGGTGGCCAACCGTATCCGAATAACACGTTGTTATTGAACTGCTCCGCTGCTTGCAGTACCACCTCGATATCTGTTGCCGCTGTTGTTGTCACTGTTGCTGCTGCTGCTACCGTGATTGCTACTGCTGTTGCTGCTATCGCAGTTGCTGCTACTGCTGTTGCTGCTGCTGCAATTGCTGCACCTCACCCACGCACGCTCACCAGGAACAATGTCAATGTCCAACACGAAAAACAGAACTCGGGACGGATGGAGGTTAGGCGCACGGATCGACTGAGTGGCACAGTCATACTGCCGGTTGCTACCTCCCCTCCCGGTCATTGCCCCTTACGCGCTCTCTCTCTCGCGAACCGAGCGCGGCTACTTTCGCTTAGCCGCTAGCTAACCTCGCGCGAGTCCTACGATTTTCGGCAATCGTTGCAGCCCCCTCCTAGCTTCGAACTACCGGATCGAACTACCCCATTGACTCGCGACCCCAAGGATAGGATTTGGAAAGGAGAGAAATCAATACCAACTATCCTCAATTATGTGCTTTATTGCCCATCCCGGGCCACCAATGCCCCCCCATCACCTGCCGGAGCCCCCTGGCGCCTTATGTCTTGGGTAGCGCCAGTGCTCCGACTTGTTGGGGCACTTGGACGTTGTAGTGATGCCGGGATGGCCGCAAATATAGCAGCCCCTTCCCGGTCGCCTGACGAGGCTGGGCTCCGCCCCATGACCCTGGCCTCCTGATGGCTGCTGGGGCGGCGTGGCTGCTGACGCCGGGGCGGCGATAAATGTAACGCCGCCCACCGTGGCGGATGTGCGTCCCCCCTCGGTTCGCACCACCACGGTAGGGTCGGTGACCGACCCGTCCACCCGGACCACGAACTCTTGTCCGGCGCCGGGGGCCCCCGAGACCCTCTTCGGTTGGGTCTTTGTCGGGGGCTTGGCCGGAGCCCTGGCCGCGTCCCTATTTGTCGGGGCCGCCGGCGGCAACACTGCCGGCGGGCCCGCGGCCTCTGGGGACTCCAGCCCCCGGTCGACGTGCAGGAGGGCCTCACCGTAGGCCCTCTGCCGCCGGACTACCGGAGCCCATTCCCCCAGCAGTTCCTGGGCACCTCGGAAGTCGAGGAACTCTCCCAGGTGCGCGTGCACCTGGCGCTGGAGTTCCCCGACGAACTCCCAGGCATTCTCGAGCTCCTGGAGGCCCAATCTCACGTGCCTCCAGGTGTTTTCGAGACCTAATTGCTGGGGGACTCGTGGGTGGGTGCAGACCCAGTGCTGTCGGCCGCAGGCCTCCCTTGGCCCGGGGCACTGGGTCGAGCTCTCCACGGTTGCCGTGCTCGACCCTTGGGTCTGCACACCCTGGTCCGTAGTGGACTGAGACCGACGGCCCTCTTCGGGTAGACCGTCGGTCTGGGTGGATGCTTCCCGGGTCGCAGGCCTGGAGGTTTGGGCCCTCATGCCTTCCCGGAGGAAGTCATCCACCCGCTGACGTGAGCGGCCCTCTCGAGCGGTCGCCTCGACCTGGGCCCGGACGAATCTTCTTAAGTCGCCAATCAGCCGATCGGCGCCCGGGCCCAACCCCTGGTCGAGCAGCAGCTGGGTGGCCGTCTCGAGGGCCTCCTCACTGATGACCAGCTTCCTCTCCATCTGTAAAAGAGAAGAAGTGGGGTCAAGGGATTTCTCAGGTTCAGCCCTTAACCTACCCGTCGCCGTGTAACGCTCGGCGCTATTGTTTACGAGGACGCCCCGGTCCCCGGCGCTTTCCTCGCGAACATGGCGCATTTGCGGGGGCAGCTGGCAGCACCACCTTCCGCACGTGCTGAGCGGTTTTACGTGGCCTGCCCCTTCCCCTTACCGCACTGCCATCCAGGTCGTCTCCACCTGGTTCCCGAGGTTCGCGCGCGGGGTCCTTGCGCCGCCTTCCTCGACCTCGCTTAACCGGCGCCTCGATCGGTACTTCCGGAGCCGCCGCGGGTTTCTCACGCTCGTTCGAGGGGGCTGCATTCGCGACGCGCTCGCATATCGGATCCTCGCTGGATTCCTCGACCTTCGCTGGCGGGTCGCCTACGCCCTCCTCTTCGTC